GGCAAGCACAAAAGACATGGTCGCCTGCAGTCCAGCAGTGGTGGCTTGGAGTGGAAATAAGCGTAACACGAGCATGGGACCAAGGAGGGGTTTGGTGGGAGACTCTGTTTTTGCATTTTGCAGGACTTTTTCCTCCAGGTTGTAAAAAACTTTTTATGTAAGTTTCAGCACCGTCAGCAACTTTTCAGTTGCTGGAGATGAGTCAGTTCCTGCTTAAACCGTCTGACATCTACTATAACCACCAACCGCCAAATTTCGATTCTATACATTTCAAACTCTTTGTAGGATAACTTTCCACCAGAATTTGATTGGTTATCTTGCTCTAATAAATGTTCTGGGATTAAGAACCTGTACCTGCTCTTTGGACACTTCCACATTACCGAACATCAACGTCCCTCTGGATTTGCTTGCTGTTTCCTTCTTCATCATCGGGTTCCCACAGTCGATCGGCCTCCTCGTCTCAAACACACAGTCTTCTTCGCACTCAATATCGAGGTCTCCGTAAATGGCATTTCGCAAGATAGAGAAGCTATCTGTCAACTTATGCTTTTTCCTTTTGAGAGCGCGTTCGACATCACAGGATCCGAAGCTCCTCAAGACACAACCAACTCTAGGCAGAACATACATACTCCTTGTTCTTTAGTGTTACCTCCATCCATATATACCCTACGTTGCCGCGTTCCCTTACATTTTTCGAGAACTGACCACAACCCCAACCTTTTCCGAAAACTAGCAGGAACTGATTCACCTCGAGTATTCAAAGAGTCGCCGAAGGCTGTATAACTGAGAAAAAGGTTTCTATAGCCTGGAGGAAAAAGTCCTGAGAAATGTACTTAATGCCCACCAAACCCGATCCTTGGTCCCATGCCCATGAAGCGTCATGCTTATCTCTACACCAACTCGCCGCTGCTGGACAACCGGCGACCATGTCTTGTGACCCCTGTTGAGCTCTCCGAAGATCATTTCCATAACGCTGGTCCATAACTTCGGTCAGAGAATCGTTTAGCAGATTTTGAATGCAAATTCAAAATCAGTGCCAAAAATAGGTCTGGCAGTGTAGGTCAAATTTCAAATGGCCACTTCGACTTGGGATTGTTCCCTTGTGAGCTGGCATTCAAAGAATAAACGAGGACATGTGTATGCACATATATGAGTATGCGTACATTTCTGTATCTCCGTGTATACGTGTGTATTGGTGTGTGGTGCATGTGTGTGTACGAGTGTATGTTTGTTTGTGTGTGCATGTGCCTGTGTGTGTAAGTGTGCACGTGTGTATGTGTTGGTGTGTTTGCGTGTGCATATGTGCATATTTGTGTAGGAAAAAATCTCCTTCTGTGAGAGCAAATCGTCGACCAAAAGCCGCTGGTGCTTGCCCAGAGACCCAGCAGGTAAATGACTTTCTGTTTCTACTGTTTTGAGCCTGTATGTCGGCCTATACCTTTTGTATATGGCGGTGTATCCATGCATACGTGTGTGGGGGCCTGCAGCTGCAGTTGGTATCCTGCACATCGCTTCAGCCGAAAGCATGCATTCGAGCTCTGGAAAGTGTCCGAGAGACGATTTGGGACCCTTTCCAAAATCAGTGCACCCTGCCCACTCTGGGATAGCCTGATTATCCGGAGTCAACCCAGGCACAATTAATGGGTTCCAATATGGCAAAAACAGTCATATAAATTAGGCTCCTTCACCTGAACCAGAGGGAGTCAAAGCACGGCAGTGTTGGGTAGAGCCGCTCGGGAGAAGCTCCTAAAGTTTTAGGGTCAAAGTAGGTTGCTCAAAACTAGAAGAATTAAAATGGCGATGTGTCCTTCCAACACACAGACGCTTGCATCGGAAGCGTCTATCCAAGATCTGATGATGCAAACTAGAAATATCAAGTAAAAATCACCGAAGTGACCGAATCGAGAGAGCATTGTCCGCCTCACGCTGCGTGCGAGTTTGGGAAAGAATGATCCTTCGAACAGTGATAGCAGAGGCGTAGGCGGGGTACGTGTCCTCCCCAACACACTTTTGACCATAAACATAGACTTGTACGAAAGCTTGACAACACGAATCGGCCGTTTGCGAATGGAAAGGCATGGCTCAACCCCGCTCTAACGACGTTCGCTGCCTTTGCACCATATCAAGCCACGAACAAAAGGAAGTGAAAAATGAAGGAGGAAAATGAAATGGAAGTGGAGAAAGAAGACATGGAAAGTATTTTCAGTGAAGACCACACTTCCTTCGAAATCAAGATTATTGTGATTTGAACGCCAGAGGAGGCCATAGTAGAACTGCTGAAGAACTAAACATCGGGACTCACCAACAGGGCAATGGGGTGGCAGATTGTCGGATTTGCTATGACGATCCACGCTATCTATGCCATGTCGTAGTTACAGAAGCAGTCACATTTGTGATGGACATGGAATTCACTTGATAGACGGTTTCGTAATAAAACGGGTAGGTTCTTCTTAAATAGAAAGTTTTGCATGACAGACGTCGCTGTTGTTCCGAACTTCCACATGGTCTCTTTCGCTCTGAACTCAGTGCTTGGTGAGAGAGCTACGAAGTTCAGAAAACGAGGCCCCAGGACCTCTTACAACTCGAACCGCACCGTTTCTTTTGCAAGTCACTGGTGAGATTCCGTTATCGACATCATTGATAAAGAACACAATCGGGTCATGAAACATTTCAAGATAGTGTTAGGGCAGCAGAGAGGAAACAACCAAGAGACGACTCTCTTCGAAGACTCTCGAGCTGATACGCCAGCATGGAAGAGTAGCAGGCAATCATCAACAGACATCCGAATTTGTGAGGCTATGCAGATAAGCAATAAAGGAAGATCTAAAGAGAGAAGAGCAGCAGGACAAAGCGGCGGAGACCGGAAAGCGCGTTCGCAAAGCCCGACGGAGCTTCGTCAACTGCATGACCACGATGTCTTGCCTCATCCTGACGGAAGAGGTGCTGCATCTCGAATAGCAATGGAGAAGGTCATCTACGAATTCTACTCGGATCTCTTCGACAGCCACGTCTATAAGTCTGTTGCATTATTATGGATTAATAAATTTGGATTGAAAGTTTTAATTTTATAAAAATGTTATTAATAAAAATTTTTAGTTTAATAAAGAATATTTTATTTACAATAAAAAGGTAAAAACTGCCTACTCATGAGGGACAGGTACACGAGCGAAGTTCCCGGGATGACCCCTACAATCGGCTATACCCACATTCTTACAAGACTCATGGAAGCAATAAGAGTGTTCCTACTCGGATAACAAGAATGCTTCATGAGATCTACTACAACTTCCGTACCATGACTTCATTATTCCATAAGGAAATCGTCATCCTGAAGAGAGGTTCGGCATATAGTTTTACCCAAACGTTTCACTGCCGCTCTCAAGAACATCACCACTCATTTGGAATGGGAAGGCTTGAGAGCGGAGGTAACACAAGACATCAAGCAGGCGGAACGAATGTTGGTCGAGTTCGACAGAGTCTGAGGAACGACCGAAAAGCCAAGGTCGAGAAGTCAACATGATGAATGACCTAGTTCTGGAACTGAGCAGAACAAAACACGCAGCATGGGGAACATTTATCGAGGGAATAGTATGGAAACAAAGAACATCCGGCTTCGCGCTCACCCTTCCGACAATGCTGCTCTTCCTGCTTCGACAAACGCTTCGAAGTCTGTCTATGCGTGTATATTTATGCATGTACGTGTGAAGGCGTATGTATGTGTGCGTATGTGCATGTGTGCGTGTATGTATTGTGCGTTTGTGTGCATATCTGTCTGCGTGTTTGTGAATGTTTGTGTATATCTGTTACGGTATGTGTATGCGTAAATGGGGGTCTGTGTGTACGTGTCTGTGCATTAGTATGTAAGTATATGTGTGATAGTGTGTATATGCCTGTTATATGACCGGGAATTCAAAACCCTGTCTCTTTGAACTTGGAGCATTCGAATTTGAAGGGAACAAATAGGTAGCATAGCAACATTGATAGCAAATGAAAGAAGCGTTACCGCTTGGCAAAGAGTGATGAAGGGCTTTAGGATGCGAGAGCCATAAGATAAGCTACATCCTTTCATTTGACAGTGGAGCTCTACCACATCGATAAGTGAAGTAGGGCATAATATGATTGTAGATGGGTGGTGACACAGAATGGTAATACGAGATAGTGGATGATAAGCGATTATAGAAACCAAGAGTCACTCAGCCTGTGACACCCTTCGTGACAAAGTGGATACTTGTCGATTTGATGTGTAATAAGGAGAGCGATTGGATCGTAAGTAATAGGAGACAAAAACTGATGACAGCTGGTATGGGCAGACAACTGCATTGTCACTTCGATATTTCGTGGATCAGAGCAGATAGAGGGAGTAAGAGATCTCAGGGAGTTTTTAATTTCTAGTTCCTTCAACACAGTTGTGTGTTTTTAGATGTTTCAAAGATAGTGGGACGGAGTAGAATAACAAGCAAGTGAGTGTTAGGTTGAGTGTTAAGCTGTTAGCCATGTTGCTCAGCTTATTTAAGCAAGACAAAGTTTAGTTCATTTCTTATTATTCCATAACGACGACTACGTCCAAAGCTTTGCTACGCAAAAGGGACCATGCATTTTCTCTACTCTTATGTCAGTTGCGACATAGTAAGTCCGACCATGAACAATCCGAGAAACTCGATAAATGATTTCTGAACATCGAGATAAGGATCACGGATAGATATGGACTTCTGATAGTGACGTTATCATCATTAACCAACTAGAGTAAGCATCATTCAAGTTTGCAGTCGACATACCATATTTCTCACTTGCAGAAGAGTCGGTCGACCAGTAGATGCAATGAAAGAAATGATAACTGTGTTTCAATTGAATACTCATTGTTATGTTCGAGCATTTGTTATGGCAATTATAAACGAGAATTCTGTACGGCACTCAGCTTTTACAGTAACCTGACACGGCGTAACCCCATATTAAAACGCATTTCCCACCCGTCACATATCCGACGCGTTAAAAAGCGTCTTGTGCTAGGACAAGCCTAGTGCCAGTGCTGATTTCTCACTTCCGTAAAGGGCAAGAGATGGAGGTTTCGTAAGCGCAAGCGCTAAGCCTCGTGTCGAAACTATAAAGCTTACGTACTGAAAGGGAATCCCCTTCATAAATGTTCTGTCAGAAATGAAATATTTTTCCGAAAACAGGAATGGAGGGCCAACCGTGCATCCGACTGTGTTACAGGAAGAAGGTTCGCGAAAGTTTCCGTTGAATTTGGTCACAATAAACAACATACGTGGCTTATTAGGATTTGGCATCCAGACGTGCCGGCCGGTTAGAGGTTAGTGAGAGAAATAGTGAACTGCCAAGTACACTCTCACAAGTTTATATACTCTGTTTTCGAGGTTGATGCTCAGTGGTTCCCAGTGATAATATGCTGATACATATGTTTCAATATCATACGAAGGGAACGCTCATGTTAGTAGAAAATGTTCTTAGCGGTTGCTCCCTTTACGAAGAGCACCAACACAGAAGCTGATTCTATAGTCGTAATGATGACATAAAGCAAATCTATGTCGATTCCGGTCTGTGAAGGCTGATTTTAAGATGATACCTTGTTTTTCTTGAAATTGCTTCGTATGTTTCACTAGGACGACCCCTGGTTCGGTAGGTGGCGAATTTTGATTTGTTCTTCTGGAAAGCGATATGATTTTTCAAATATCTGAAAAAGTAGATGGGAAAGTTCTAAACACTTGCGGATTCTTGTGTTTCCTTTTCGGTTTCATGTATAGAAACCGCTTTAGCTGCTTACATCTATAAAAATGAAACCAGCCTTAAAAGAAGCGAAGTTAAGGAATGACCGCCCCTTTTACCTATACAAAGATCGATGCCTGGAGAATACATGATGGAATCCTTTCGCGTTGGACAATCTTTTTCCCAGGATGAGCCATGCATTTGACTTCTTTTCAGAAAAGCTTTGTTAATGGTGGAGTAGTGGCAAGGGACGCACTTCACTCACAGGTGGCCACAGGTTTGAATCGCGGTCGATATGCCCAGGCCATCCAAGCCTTCCATCCCTCGGTCAATAAGCGTCGGACTCGTCTGGCAGGATGAAAGCACTGACTTGAACAGCACTGGCTGGCCACCAGAAGTCACGGTATCTTCCATATACGCTTTCAATATGCCACTCTGAATGGAAGTCGAATGTGGGGCGCATCTCTGAGGCAAATTGAATACTGTCTCAGGCTTTATCTTTTTTATCTTTTATTACACGTTGAGCTGCATTGCTTTCACAAGAATCATCGTAATATTCCATTGAAAATTCGATTCTTCCCCTTCCTTCGAGCGATCGAATGCGGCCAGCATAACAAGCCGTTCGTGTAGAATAACCCATACCTAACTCCTATGATCAGTGAGACCTTGAACCTCCATGATCACCTGAGTCTCAAGCTGTTTTTGGATCTACACTGCATACGTGTTCCGGTTCACCACTGAAGCTTTATCGAAGAGAATGATTCATTGAATTTCGCCTACACTTTCCTTATAAGGCAGTTAGTAAATATTCGGGTACATATCTTCTACTACGCTTCTGCCCACAGCCCGTACATTCAAAAAATTTCAAAGTCACCAATTTACACTACATTCTTAAGGAATATTCATTTCAATGACACAATCTACTCCATAATGATCCTCTTCTCAGTAACATATACTTTACGACTAGGACATGGAAGAAGTTCACAATCTGAAGATGTAGGAAGTGTTGGTCTTCGAATTGGTTGTAAGATGTAGATGATCCAGGAATCATCTTGCGGTGGAGGTCCCTCGAACGAACTGCTTGTGTAGCTGACTTCCTATGAAAAGCTCTGTAGTTTAGGGTGATACTACTTATTTATTTTGAGATTTGATAGACATTTCTACAAAAATCGTCTGATAAGGTATAGCGGGCAAGTGAAATAGTGTGAAGTGGAAGTTATTAGAACTGATCATGTTTATTTGACAGTAATTGTTTTGGGTTGGCGTACCGCTACTTGTAGTTGTGAGTGGTGGCATTATGCAAAATCTGTGCATATTCATTCTAATGCCTGATTCAGATTTTCATGCAATAATGCTGGAATTTAGAAAAAAAAACCTTCCGAACCTTGGACGCGCTTCCTCTCTCTCTTTTCTGAAACTGCGTCTTACATGCATAATATTGCAAAAAAACTCACCTTCACAAACACGTGGTGCTTGAGCTTCATTGACGTGTCCGTTTTTATAACGCCTTTCTGAAATTCCAGAGAATTAAATGCTGCAGTCCGACAATGGAGTCATAGAAATGTAAAAGATTGAGTGGATGAAGCGTTGCCTTAAGTTTTCAAACTCATGATATATGAGGGCGGAGGTGGTGCAGTGGCGAGTGGCGCACTATTTCCCACGCATGGTCATGGTTCGAGACCCGGATCGATATCCGCCTAGGCCAACCAAACCTTCCAACCCTCCGGGGTCGGTTAATTGGTACCAGACTCGTCTGGGAAGATAACAGCACCGACCTGTACATGCTGGCCACCGGAATTCATTGTAAAGACCAGACACCCATGCATGATGTCACTACGATTCTGAATGGAAGTCGAGTGCGGGGGCACATCCCTCAGACGGTATTGATTAACGGCAAAAACTTTATCCTTATCCTTTATTCTTATATCCAGGGCGGAGGTGGTGTAGTGGCAAGTGGCACACTATCACACACCCATCTGGTCTCCGCCACTCGTTGTATAGGCCACATACGCATTCAGTACGCCATTACGATTCTGAATGAAACTCGAGTGTGTTTCCTCAGACATAATGATTATTGGATTCTTATATCCAAAGAGTATTCAGTTCTCAAGTGGTGTGAGCCTTTAATCTTATGAGGGACATGTTATGCTGATGTAATAGTAGCAAGGAGCGCTTCAAGATGGTGTACTACCATATAAAGGGTAAACTACGAAATTGCTGCAAGGACTCGCAGCTCACATTATTTTATACGATCATCGTCGTTTGAAAGAAAAAATTCAAAAGAGAGGCTGCTCTTGGAAAACAAGTTCACCAAAGGGAAAAACCGCGACCACGTAAATTATGTTTCATGAGGGAGTTGAAGGATGACATTCTGAGCACCGAAAATTCTAATAAGCATGATCGGAAGTGATGAAAAGTGATTAGAATTATAAAACAGACGGACAATGAGTCTAAGGACACCATCCTGACCCGTTCTACACTTTTTCTTATACGGTTGTTTACCCTTTCGAATTCCTTGATCTTCCATCACCCTTTTCTCTAAACTGCTTCACAGTAGTCTCCCATGCGTCAGCTACTACCTTCAGATTTTGTAAGTCCAGTCCCACAAAGTTTCCTTTCAGCCCAAGCACCATTACTTCCCGCCGTTCCTGTCTCATGTTCCTTTACTAACTTATGGGCAATGTACATTTCATAAGCCCTGTAATAATGGGAGCTGAGTTACTGTGTTTGGCATTGCTATTTTGTTGTACGATGATCATGCCGTCCTGCCACTCTGCATGAGTAATCATAAAAGTGAACGGCGAATAAATTGCAGAAGAGCACGATGAAAGCACAACAAAACAGCAACGCGTGGACCAACAGCTCAGCTCATGGAAAAATTCGTTGTTTGAATTAGAAAATGTGGATACAATGAAAAATGAAAGAAAACCCAGAGCTTCAAAATGATCTTCGGTAAGGGCCCCGATCACATAGGAATACAAATGGAAGGTAGCCTCTGCAGTACCTTCGACTAGCGGTCATCATTGGAGAAGTTTCCTGGTTTCTAACCCAAATCAAGTCTTTTTATAATGTCATTTTGTTTTGCCTCGTCCAAATTCCTGATCAAGTTGCACTCCCAGAGATGCACCCTTTCTACCCTGCATCTGTAGGTGATAATCTATAGGGTTAAGCATTGATCGACACTTAACAGGTCACATTCTAGTTTTTTTTGAATGGAAGTAGCTGTAGTGTGCTAGTGAAATCATTTGGGGTGAGGTCACTGTCCCTGATCAAACGGGCACTCTGTCTAATGAGTTCCAGAAGAGCCGAAGTTCAAGGGAAGACCACCTGATTTACTCTACTACGAAAAATATATAAAAAGTCCACAAATACATGAGTTACTGAAAGAGCGGACCAAAATCAAGTGGTACTGAGGAAACAGTTCTTACCTGGTCGACAATCGAAGCATTGGGTGTATGTTTGTCGGCAATTTCGTAGGAATCCACTTCTGTCAGTGAACATGGGCTCAGCTGAAGATTCATTCTGCTTAGAATTTCCACGAATTAATTTTACTTTGGGATCAAAGTTTACCAACCTCAATGGTTTGCGGTAGAGTGTCGTAGAACAATTCAGAGTCGTGGGTGATTGAACTGTCGTAGTCGATCGAAGGCAAACTCGGATCACCGTGCAGTACCTCGTACGAAAAAAGAAACGATATCGTCAAGTGGAAATGAAGACGACAGTATAAGTAATACTTTTTTGAAAAAGTGTGACTAACATTAAATCGATAATCGTCAACATCAGTTGAGAATTCGCTGACATATCGCATTTTTGCTTCGGTTCAGAAGTAGTCTGAACACCACGCGACCTGAATAACTTCCGAATACCTGCTTCACAAAGTAGAACAAAATTTCTCAACGAAGCTTTAACACTTTGACACTGACTTTGAGCGTAAACAACATAGCTGGACGTGAGAGACGGTGTAGGTTCAATAAGTTGTGAAGGATACGCAAACGTTGTACGATTCATGACCAAGCATTTGATATGAACTAATAGCAAGAGCGTTGCTGAACTTTATGGATTGGTAGTCACTCCTTTGATATTGTAATACCTTAGTGGTTCATCGTCAAGAGGTCCTTCTAGCTTGGACCACAACTGTCTCATTCCGCCCGATCTTCCGCGACTTGCATCCGATGTAGACCGCTTTCTCTGCAGTATTTGGAGCACGAGTCGACCCACTTAATTGGCGGACTTTTTAACGGTCTGGTCTTCTCTCTTGAAAGCCATTTTGTGACTTGAACACTCCATCTGTTATCTATTTGGCCAAGTGAATGCCCGGTCCAGCGGTGCTTCGAGTGAGCCAAGTTTTGCTGCGGATCTTCGAACAGTTACTACATAATCCCAAATTCAGCTATTTATTTGTCAACTTTCAAAGGAAATCAAATGAGACATATCGGACGAGTCGAGGACTTGTAAAGTGAGAAGTGTGACTAGAAATCTGGTAAATCCAAATTAGACAAACGCTCGGAACTCTTACTACCAAAGTTTGATTACCGCCTGATGCGAAACTTCGAGCAGAATCTCTGGAGAATGACTATTCATGCTGAGTAGTACATTCCATAGTATTCACTAAGTCTGAAGGGTCTTTCGTGAGCTTAAGTTTTGATTACGAGGCAAGCAAAGAAATGCTTCATAGGTATTATAGTTTCAGAGCAAGGTAGAGAAAACAGTTTTATATAAACGTCGAAATGAACTGTAGACCGCTGACCTTTTCGAGTCTTTATAAGAACCTATGAAAAGGTCGTTGAAAAAGTGTCGACAGAAGGCGTTTCCAGAGCAACTGCACGCTTCTAGATACAAAGACCGCTCACTTCTCCCTTATTCACAGTGACCTGATTCATGCATCGGAGAAGACGCTGCATTTGCTCTAGAAACGTCACTTCACATCGCAATTTCATTTGCCGTTTCACTTGCATCACCGTCACGACGATGGAGAGGCGAAAAATTCTGTTTAGATCACGTTAGTCTCTATATACATACTATGAAGCCTGGTTATTCATTGAAGGCTTTCTGAGGGAGCTACCCCTGAAACAACCAGTTTTTGTGCGTTTCCTCATAATGAGCCATTCAGAGAAAACAACATTTTAACATGGGTGATACACAGGTGTGTATCACGCCTGGATTACCTCATGATACACTTGTGTATAAAAACACCAAAAACAAGTGTATTATTATAATTATTATTATTATGAGAAAGATATCAGATCGTTCCAGATGTCTTGATGATGAAAAAAATGATGGTTTGCGCGACGCATCCCGAAAGATGGCAGGACTACTACACACGTCATTGAACTCGCCTCCACCCTACAACAATCGTCCTACTCCTCCTAACACCTGCTTCAGAAAACTAATGTTCACTTGATTTTTGTACGATAAAATGTTCCCACTTGTTCATAACAGTTGGTGCACGACAGTATTCGCTTTTGCGCCGAAAGGCTTTTCTCACTGAAGCCATACTACCCACGCAGGATATGAGATTTGAGTACTGCATGTTACTCAAACACAACAGAAAGGCTAGCTTTGGTCCAGCAAACCATCACCGAAGTAGTAGAAAGGATAGATGCACGAAGCAGTGGTTTTGTTGTAATGTTTGTGGCATTCTAAGGGAATGCTCAAATTTGAGATGTTGCCACATATCACACCATGATCGCGCAAGTGAACTTTTTTCGACAACAAAGATTGAGTAACGCTATTTGCCTGGGATGGAAGAGAAATGAAGGTGTTGCTCTTCTTTATGCAAAAGCCTTTCTCCTTGTCGTAAAGTTTACCAACCAGAAAAGCTTGGTTGCAAAGTTCTACTCCAGCTTAGTCTATGTGCTCCCCCTTCTGAAGACCGCTTGTTTCGAAGATCAAGTTGCACCTACGAGTAATTCTCTGATCCTATTGGATCTGAAAGTTTAGTGAGGTGTTGTAAGTACGCCCATACTTCACGATGGTTATTATTTTGTTGCTATTTTTCTATACATCATCTGCATCACCTGTCCTCCCGTTGATCATTGAGCGGTATAGTCAGTATAGTCTGACACGAGGCAACGTAGTCCATTGGGTTGTACTCGTTCGGGGGAAACGAGATCATGAGTTCGTCCCATGGGATTCGGTCAGCTCTGGTCCAGCGGTCATCAAGTCCATGCATAAAGTGTCCGGCTCCCTACTTTTCGATTTCCGCGTAAGCAACGGCGTCGCTGAAATTTTTCCTGACGGAGCTTCGCCAATTACAAGACCAAGGTGATTTCCCTTTGTCGACCTGACCTGCATTTTGGAGGGCAATGATAAATGTCATCTACAACTCCTACTCGGATCTTTTCCACACCCATGCCTACCTGCTCAGCTACCATCTTGACAGGATAGATACTTTGTTGCTTCAGTTCTTCCTTCCGAAATTCGACATTGCCATACGAGCGACATGTGTCGTCAGCGTCCCCCTGCCTATTCACAACGTAGCGAGAGGTGTCCAGCAGGGCGATATCATTTTGCCCACACTTTCAGCACCGCTCCCGAGAATATTATGCATCACACGGAATGGGAAGACTAGGGAGTGAAGGTCGGCGACCGGTATTGCCATCACATCCGCTTTGCTGAAGACATAGTGCTTATAACACCGAACATCGAGCAAGTGGAGCAAATGCAGGCCGAGTTTGACAGCGCTTGTGGAAAGATCGGCTCGGGACTGATCTTAACTGAAACGGTGTTCATTAGAGACGGATTGGTACCTGATGCTCCTTTACGCTAGGCGGAACATACATCATCATCTAGCTATGTGTATCTAGCCGAGAATTCAACATGATGAACGACCTAGCTCCGGAGCTAGCAGAAGGAAACGCGCCACGTGGGAGCACTTAAAATCATCAAGGAAGCAGCGAAGAAGACAGAGTACACTTGGCTCCGCTCTCACCGTTTTGACACTGCTCCCCTCCTGCTTTCATCTACGCAGTGGAGACTTGGATTCTACCAAAGCAGAATGAGAATGCTGTAGGCGTTACTCAACGCGCTTCAAAATGACTGATGCTCTGTAAACGCGAGTGCAGAACTGAATCCGGAGTTTCGAGCTCCGTCATCAAACGCCAAGAAATCTAAGATCAGATGGACCGGGCACATTACGCAATATAGCGATGATCGTTGGATCACGGCGGATACTGACTGGGTCCCTCGTTACGTCAAGCGTACACCACGACGGCCTCCATCGCGATGGTCATACCTCATCATGAAAGCTCTGAACGAAAGGAGTGCTGAGCCTCGTGTCTCTGAAGCGAGGACCATTCCCTGGACCAATCAGGCTAGTGAGCTTTCGTGAGGTACGAATGGATACGTTACTGGCGTTCGCTCGAGGAAATCAATGATCAACGAGACGACAGATGATGCAGGTGATACAGGTGAACATTTCCACTCACTGGCCATCTATGACCTCGCCATACACATGCCAAATTGTCAAGTCTCCACCATTAATGCGATACTCTAGTAGCTTTCCTTCTGAGAAGTTTGTTATCAGCTGTTGCCAATGTGGTGAATCGCGGCTTGAACAGTGAGACGTCTCGTATGTTGCCTTATATTCCTTATCAATTATCG